TCCGTCCTCCTTCAGGTCTCAGCAGGACAAAGGACGCCCTGCTGCTCTCCTCCTCAGCCCTCTTCGGCAGAAGCAGGGCAGGACAGCCCCACGTCCAGCCGGCCAGCGCCAGCGAGTGGCCTGTGACCGACCTGGGTGTTTTAATGAGCACCCAGAAGAGAGGCTGCCTAGAGAAGCCCGTTCTTCCTACTCACTCTTGCTGGCTGCAAATACTAGATAATCTCTTCTTCCTTTTGTCTCGTCTAGGATGGTGCTTGACACCCCCTAGAGCAGGGGTGTCCAGCCTTGGCAACTTTGTGGATTTCACCCCCCCCACTCATGGGACTTTGCCCTTTGGGGCTTGCCGCCCTGATTGCCCGGCTGCCCTGGTCTCCTTTGCTGGGCAGAATCACTCAGCTCCATTAGCCTCCACGCTGGGCTTTTCTGGGGTCCTTCTGCCACTCGGATCCTGCCTGGGGATTGCCCAGGATTGGCCCTCCGGCCTGTGCAGGGCCTCGGATTGCTCCAGGGCGCCGGCTGTGCCAGGCAAGGAAGGCGGCTTCCAGGACCGCCAAGCACGGCTTCTTCGTTCTCTGGCCTCGGAAAGCTGGCCGGGGAGCCCCTCTCTGGGACCTCCTGCCGGGGGCTCTTCTGGCCACAGCGTCCCCAGGCCATTCAGACCCTGCGGCGACTTTGGCTGCTCCAGCCATCATCGGGCAGGGTGGTTTTGCCATTGCCAGGAGGGGCAGCTCCCTTCCTCGCCTCTCCTCAGAGGTGCTTCTTCATGCCAGGTGGCCACGGTGGCAGCGCTTCCCCTCAGAGCCAGTTTGGGCTGGTCCCGTGGCTTCTTCAGTGCCCGTTCTGGCTGGGTCATGGCTGCCACCCCTGCCAGAGCGGGCTGGGCTGAGGACCGCTCGGCCTTTGCTTTGCAGAGACGGTGCAATCCGGCACACATGCCCGGCTGCTTCCACACAGATGCTCTGCTGGGCACAGTTGTCCAGGCAGCGCCTGCCAGGGGCCTCCTAGGCTGGTCAGAGGGCAGCAGCTGCCCAGCCTCTCCCAACTGGTTTGGAGGGCCTGTGCCCAGAGGACCCCCCCCCCCGCCTCCTGCTCCTCCTCCCTTGCCAGCAGAGCTTGCTATGGCTTCCTTGGTGCAGCCTTTTAGCTCAGGGGCTTCTGCCGCCTCAGGCTGGACCGGGGCTTTGAGGGTCCTGCAAGGCAGCCCCTGCCCGGGCTGAAGGGGAGGAGGGGGCTGTTCCCAGGCCAGTGCTTGCAGTCGCGGGCGAGGGCTCCCCCTTCCCTCCAGGAGAGGCGTCGGCCTCCCTCGGCTGCGGCGGGGTCCGTAGTTGGCCTGCAAAGGGGGGGGGGGTCCGGTGGCGCTTCACAGGGAGGCGGGATCCTCCGTCTGGGTCCTGAAGCTGCGCGAGGGGGGGTCCTGCGGAGGCTTCGCGGATGGAATGCGAGTCCCCTGAAAATAGAAGCCGCCGTTGTAACTAAAAGGCCGGACGGGCACAAACGTCCAGCTTCCCGCCACTCGTCGAGGGCGACCTTGGAGCGAGCCGCGTCCGGGGGCGTCTGCGGGCGGCGGCTGTCCCTGGCCGCCCCATCCCGGCCTCACTTCTTCCAGGGAGGGGCTGCGGCCGAGGCCGATTTGCCCTCCGGGAGCCAGGCAGCCCCCGGACGCCTGGGGGGACCAGGCCGGCCGCCTTCTCGGGGCTCGAGCGCGGCGGGCCCGCGGCTGCTCCGGTTGCGCAAGGCCCCACTCGAGGCAGGCGAATCACCGGCTTGGGGGGAGCAGCCGAACTCTTCCCGGGACCCCCGCGCGCCTGGCTGTCAGGACGGAGGCCGGCCTCGCTCCTGCCTCGGTCAGCGCGGGATCCGTGGGCGACGCGCGCCGGGAGTCCCGGCTCCGCTCGGGGGTCCCGAAAGACTTTCTGGCTGCGGGAGACCCAGCCTCGCCCCCCCCCCCGCGCCCTTCTCCGCTTCTCCTGCCTCCGACGGTGTAGATGCCTCATTATCTGTTTATTAAAAACATTTCTATACTGTTCCTTTGCTTAAAAATCCTGAAGACATCAATAATAGTTACCAAAAAATACCTTTAAACAAAAAATAGATTAAAATTTGAATTAAAACCATCTATTCAACCCCAGAGGGAAATATTAGTGGAATTAATGACAAATGAAAGGCAACCAGAGACCCTTCCGGCATTACTGGGTGCAGCACGAAGGGCTCCCGACTGCTCCGTCCGTCCCTGGGCTCCTCCTGCAGGAGTCCCCCCTCCTTTTCCTCTGGCTGGCAGGCCTGGGCCCCTTTTTGCTACACGGGGGCCCCCTTTCCTCCTCCCCACCTTTCCACCCTGGGCATTGCCCACTCTCAGCCCCCCCCCCTGCCCTCTTTCTTTCCCTGGCAGCTCACTGCCCCATTGGGCAAGGACGATGCCCAGAAGGTGGGCTGTACCATTTCCCCCACAAGCTGTGGGGCAAGTGCTTCCTTTGCCACCTGGAGCAGGTCACTGGAAGGGGCAGCAGCTGGTGCCTTGCCTCTCCTCCTGCCAGTTTTCCACCAGAAGGCCTTGGCTGCTAGAGTTGTTCACACAACATTCTGCTAACCTTGGTTAGAGGGTTCTAGTACCTTTGGATTTTGCCCCAAGGTATGGTGTGAACCCAGAAGAATTGGCTGATCCAGTGCCCCATGCAGCGTGTTGTCTGGGGGCATCAGGAGAACTGCCATCCTTCCTGCAGAGCAAGGAGACAATGGGGGGGGGGGAGATAGCTAGACTGAGGAGGGGCTGTGGAGCTTCATTAAGATACATTAAAATCCTTTAACCGCTCCAAAGGCATTTCCAAACACCGGGCAAAGGATTTCACAGGCATCTCAGGACCAAAACGCGCTGCCCACAACCTTCCTTTCAGAACAATCATGGCTGCCTCTCTCGGGACCGTGGTTCGATTCACACTTAGCAACTCAAGTTAGAAACCTCTTGGCTACATTCACACAATAAACTAGGCTTGGCTTTTAACTGTCTTTCACTGGCTTAGCATGTTTAGGTGATTGCAGGTGCCGCATTTCTATCCAACCAAAAAGTATTTTGTGCAATCTCAGCTTCTTTGGGTAGCTTAGGGTCAAGGTTCCCCCAGTGGGCTAATTAATTAAACCAGCTGCGCTGCATGGAACCCCCCCCCCTCCCAAGTGATGGAGAACCGCTGTGGCTGATGGATAGGCAGGATATACATGGGGAGGCCACTGGTGGCAGTCCTAGGCAACCCCTTCAGAGCCCAGCCAAGGAGCAAAGCCGGCCTTTGCTGCCTACTGAGCCCGGGGGGGGGGGTCGGCTGTGGCGAAAGGCCTGAGGGCAAAGGGGAAGGAAAGGGTCCCACTCAGAAGGCTGCTGGCCAGCCACCCTCTGGCCCTCCTCACACTTCAGGGGGCAGGTTTCCTTCTTCCTAGCAACTCACCCCCCCCCAAGGCTGAGAGACCCCTTTCTGGGCAGAGGTGCACCGGGGCCCTAGTAGGAGGGGTACAGGGAGGCTGGGGATGATGGTACTACTTTCCTTCCTGAAGGCTCAGAGAATCTCCTTGCCAGCAGAGATCTGTCTTGGTGGAGAAAGCAAGCCCCATCAGCCACAGCCAGCTTCTGGCCCACCTGGACCGAAAGGGCCAAAGGTGGTCTCTGCCCATTGGAGGACCCTGCCGGCACCCACCTGCTGGAGTTCCTGCTGCAAGCTCCCCACCTCCAGCAGCCCCTCCCAGGCCAGTCATCCAACCGCTTTGAAGGAGGACCGAAACCAAGCCGGCCACAAGCCTGAATTAATTATAGCTCAAATGACACCCAGACAGGCGTCCCAGAGAATGGAGCTCTCCGCCGCCATGCTGCTCAGTCCAGCACAAGCCAGCAGCAGGCCACCCGTCTGGCCCTGGGCCTCGGGGGCAACGTCCAAGAAGGCCCAGCCTAGCAGCCACGTTCCTCGGCCCCCTGGGAAAGGCTCCTTCTGGACAGGGGCTCCCAGGGCTCCCAGTGATTTGGGGCCTGGGCCAGACAGAAGCTTGACCGAGAAGCCACCGAGTAGCCGACATCTCCCACACCAGGTCTTGGAATGAAACTGGCCCAAAAGCAATACAGGTGGGGCTCCCTGGCCCTGCAGGTGAGATGGAGCAGCCCAGGGGGACCAGGAAGGGGGAGGCTGTGAGGTGACAGACAGGGGGGAGCCTCCAGCAAGCCCACCTATGGCGAGGAGGGCTGAGGAACAACCTTCTCCCCCTCTCCCCCCAGCAGGGAGATGCCAGGGCTGGGTACAGGCTGCCCCATGCAATGAAGGCACGGAGGGGGAGGGGGTAATGTGACCAGCTGCCCCTTTGCCTAGAAAAAGTTGCAGGATCCTCTTATTCTTTGACTCAAAAAAACAACAAAAGCTGCAGGAATCAGGCTGGACTCCAACAGGCAGCGTCAGCCCCTTCCCAATCCAAGGCCCCACCAGAACCACCCGAAGCCCAGCTGGAGTGTGGGAGGGGCCCAAGAGCAGGACTCTCCCTGCCCGGGAAGCACAGCAGCAGCACCACCGCTTCTCCGTTGCCTTCCTTTTATTGTGTGCAAGACAAACCGAGACAGCCAAAATCCAGGGACCCCCCCCCCCCAAAGGGAGCAGCGACTCCTCGGGTTCCAGTGAAGATCCACATGGTCCAGTTTCTTTTTGCACAGCAAAAGATCCGGAGGGCGGAGGGGGGGCGGGGAAGAGGGGCTCCTGGGGACGGGCCCCCTTTCCTCAGCTTTCCGGGAGAAGCCTCCGTAGAGCGGGAGCCACGAGGGAGCCCCGCCCTTTTAGACGCCAAATTCCACGGCTGTAAACAAATGCGCCCCTCCCCCACTCCGAGGACCGACCGACATTTGGCCGCAGCTCGGGTGGGGGGAGGGGCGGCAGGCAGATCGACCTCCGGCGCACATCCCGGGCCGGTCTCCGCCGGGCCGCCCTCTTCCCTGGCGCCGTCTGGGGGCCCCGCAGAACTGCGGGAGGAAGCGGGGCTGGTCAGCCGCAGTCGGGCTCCGGGCTGTGGCAGCATCGCACGGGCGGCGGGGGTGAGGAGCTCCCGGCGCCGCCGGCGGTCTCGTGTCCGTTGCTCTCGATGGAGGACTCGCTGCCGGTGCTCTCCCCGGAGAGCAGGCGGGTGACGCGCAGGTCGGCGCGGAGAAGCGCTACGTCGTTGCCGATGGCCAGCTCGCCCAGTCCGCAGATGAGCTGCCCCAGGCTGGACGCCGCCGCGGGCGCCGCGCCCTCCCCGTCCCCGTCCCCGTCCCCGTCCTCCTCCAGCGGGGCCAGCAGCTCCTCGTCGTCGCCGCCGTCGCAGTCCTCGTCCCGGCCGCCGTTGGCGCAGCCCGGCCCCGCGGCGCGCTCCTCCAGTTCCTCGCCCAGCGAGTCCTCGGTGATGGAGCCCAGTTTGGGCGCGCTGCGGCTTCGCTCGACGGGCGGCTTGTAGCAGCCGCCCGGCCCGTGCAGGAGCAGCTTGCGGAGCGGCACCAGCGGGATGGCGCCGTCGGCCCCGGGGCCCACCTGCTGCAGCTGCTGGTGCCGCGCGTCGGCGCGCTTCTTGAGGCGGCGGAACTCGGCCAGCGCCGCCGCCGACGTCTGGTACAGCAGCAGCGCCATGGCGCGGGCCTTCTCCGCCTTGGAGACCAGCACGGCGTGGCAGCGGAGCAGCACCGCCTTGTGCTTTACCTCGTGGCGGTAGATCCAGGCGAAGAGGCGCGGGAGGCGCGGGTCCGCCACGCAGTAGGTGACGCGGTGCAGCAGGTAAAGGTGGCCCGGGCGGGAGGCGGCCTCGGCCGGCACGGCGGGCGCCAGGCGGATGCCCTGCGGCCCGATGGTCAGCTTCATCTTGGTGCCGTGGCGGCCGGCCTCGCTCTTGGCCCAGATCTTGGCCACCGCCGCGTCGGTGCAGCCCTCGCCCTTGGCCTGCAGCGTGGTGGCGTTGCCCAGGTAGAGCGCCGTGTAGGTGGGCGCCTCGTTGCTCACGCGGAACTTCTTGCGCTTGGAGCGGAACAGGCTGCCCATTTTGGAGAGGGCGCTCTCGGCCGGGCAGGCGCGGGACAGCGAGCCCAGGGCGGCGGAGCAGGGCAGGCTCCCGGCGCCCGCCTGGCAGTAGTCCTTGGCCTTCCCCGACGGCGGAGGGGAGGCGCCGCGCGGGCCCGCGGGCTGCTGCTGCTGCTGCTGTTGCTGCTGCGGCCGCTCTCGCCGCCGGCCCGGCTGCGCCGGCCTCTGCGACTGCGGCTGACGCCCCTCGTCCGCGGCCAGCAGCTCGAATTTGTGCCTCTTCCAGGGCAGCATCGCGGCGCCCCCGCCGCCGCCCGCCGGCGCAGCCAGTCCGGGGCGCTGCGGCTGCTGCTCCCGGTCCTCAGCTGGAGGCGCCCGTCGTCGCCCCGGCCGCCCGCGCATCCCGAGGGACCGCCGGCCTGGGCCCCGCCGCCTGCCGCCGCCGCGCGCGCGCCCGCCGCCACTCCGTCGCCATCGCCGCCGCCGCCGCGCGCGCCTTACATGCCGGCCTAGGATCGCGCCGCCGCCGCCGCGCCTCTGCTGGCGCTGGCTGGCCGCGCCGCTACATATAGGCCGGGCGAGGGAGGCCGCTGCGCCGGGAGGCGGCGCCCGCGATGCCGGCAGCCAGCCGAAGGGGAGGGCCGAAGCAGCCGGTGAGGGAGGGGCCGAGGCTGTGGCCGTTGGGTCGGGGGGCTCAGCCGCGGCCCTCCGCCCTGCCCGCCCCCGCCGCCCCCGGGGCCGGTCGGAAGTCCCCGCGCCCCCGGCCCGGGAATGGCGGGCGGAGGGAGCCTGGCCTCGCCCCCCCCGGGACGAAACGGAGCGCCTTCTCGCCTTGGGAGAGGCTCGGAGGGGCTGCGAGCGGCCGCCCAGCCCCCCCCCTCTGCGCCCCTCCGCGTCTGCTGGCTCTGGGCGCCAGCCCCCCCCCCCCAAGAGGTTCTCCTCGGGCAAGCCTCGCCCGCTCGGGCCGTTTCCTCCCCCGCAGCGCGTCCGGCCTCGTCCAGCCCGGCTTGGCCTGACAGGCCGGGTGTTACCAGCAGGAGGGCGAGCTGCTGATGCCAGGACAGACGGCTTCTGATGCTTTCGGGGTTTGGGGCGATTCAAGATTAAGCTATTTCCGAAAAGGCCTTTTTGGTCCCTCCTTTTGAGATCTGTTTTGCTTCTCTGGCTGGAGTTAAGGAGGATCTTACACTTCCAGGTTTAAAGGGGTAAGATTTTCAGAGGTGAACTGACTGACCATCTCAAAAAGTGTATGACTGCGCATTTAATGTGGTAACTGAATTAACTGATATATTGATTGACTAATGGACAAAGCTGGGTTTGCTACAGCACCAAACCACAATGAATGGAAGAACTGGCAAACCAAGTTTTAATGTGAGCCTGTGACTTCCTCAGGTGCACCTGTTCACTCAGCTTTGGGGTCACAGTGAAGAGACAGCCATGCTGATCAATTTCATCCTAAAGTTGTGTGAACCTGTTCTGAGCAGGAAGTGCTGTGGCATTTGGGGCTTTTCCCAAAGGTGCCCGCTAGCCACGGGCAATCCCATGGACCGTAGGTAAGGAGTTGCACTGGCCCTGGGCAGACCCAAGTTTCCCATAGCTGTGGGAGTCAGAATAACAGAGTTGGAAGGGACCTTGGAGGTCTTCCGGTACAACCCCCTGCTCAAGCAGGAGACCTTAGACCAGGGGTCCTCAACCTTGGCAACTTTAAAAGACTTGTGGACTTCAAGTCCCAGAATTCCTCAGCCAGCAAAGCTGGCTGAGGAATTCTGGGAGTTGAAGTCCACAAGTCTTAAAGTTGCCAAGGTTGAGGACCCCTGTCCTAGACCATTTCAGGCAGGTGGCTGTCCAGTCTCTTCTTGGAGCACCCACAACTTCTGGAGGCAACTTCCGTCAGGAAATTTCTCCTTAATTCTAGGTTGCTTCTCTCTTTAATGATCTTTTCCCCATTGCTTCTTGTCCTTTGCTTTAGAAAATAGGTTGATTCCCTGTTCTTTGTGGCAGCCCCTCAAATATTGGAACCCTGTTATCCTGTCCCCCCCATCTTTCCTTTCACTAGACTAGGCATACCCAATTTCATGCAACTGTCCTGTGTTTTAGCCTCCAACCCTCTGCCAGCCGTCTGGTAAACTCATTTTTCTTGCCATGCACATGTATACATAACCCAAACTAGACTGTGTTGTTTCTCTGCATCATATATGAGGGTATATGCATAATTCTGTATTTATTTATTCTTGTCATATTTATGTAACGTATATCGGAGGTGGTGACTCTTTGAGAGCTTTGTATGCAACGAAATTTCATTTTAATGTATGCCGATTAGCGTACATTCAAACTGACAATAAAGTTATTATTCTATTCTATTGTCTAACCAGGCCCCTAAGCAAGACTTGCTGTCTGCCCTATCTCACAGGGCTGTTGTGGGGAAAAGCAGGAAGAGGAAGCACGAGCTGCCAAACAGAAGGTGGGAATCAAATCTAAGAAATAAACCAATAGAATAGACCAGGGCTTTTCAACCAGTGGTACGGGTACCACCTCTGGTACATGGGCACCTGGCAGGTGGTACGCAACCATCCTAGAAAAGTGGTAGCGGGGAAGGGGAATGAGCTGAACCGGTGGCAGCACCACACAAGCCTGAGCGAGAGACGGCTGAAGCTGCAGGGCTGTCAGGGCTCAGCGGAAGCGCCAGGATCAGCGCCAGGCTCTAGCTGGAGCTCGGCACTGATCCTGGAGCTTCTGCTGAGCCCAGAAGAAGCCCCAATCAGCTGGAATGTTGCAGCATCTCCAGGGTCTTGTGATTTACATTCAGATGCTTGGCAACTGATTCATATTTATGACGGTCACAGTGTCCCAGGGTCATGTGAAGTGACCAAAACCTGCTGCAACCACCCAGCAGACGGGGGGAATAAAAACCAAACACCCCCCCCACCCCACCCCCACTGCCAATCCTCAACAGAAATGCTCACAACAATGGAAACCTCGGACAGGAGGAAGAACACCGCCGGGTGGGCAGGCAGGTGTCTTGCTCAGCTGTGTCTTGGGGGGCACTTTTTTCAGTGCCATTGTAACTTCGAACAGTCAGTAAGTGAACTGTTGTAAGTCAAGGACTACCTGTACTTTATCACTTTTTTCCTTTTTTTTTTTTTTTGGTCATCAAGTTTTTGACACCTTGGTAGGCGACTGTTGGTACTCGGATGTTGCCATATCCTAAAAGTGGTACAATGGGTGAAAAGGTTGAAAAGCCCTGGAATAGATCACTTCTCCATTTCTGCTGGGTGGAGTCTGCTGGGGGGGGGCTTGCTGATCTAGATAGGGGGGCAAGGAAGAGGAGGAGAAGCAGTGCCACACGAACACACATTTGCTACTACGGTCAGTGAAGGATTCTTCAGCTGGCAGGATCTGAGTGGTGTGGGGGGGGGCAGGGTCTCAGGCAGGTCCCAGTAAGCAGGAAGAGGGTGCTGGTGCTCTTTCCTCAGCTGCTGTTGATGCTGCCCCAACCCAGCCCTTGGAAACGGAGGAGGCCAAAACGTGCTGCTTGGGCAGCTCAGCTCAGAGGCTTTGCCCTGAGCCCAGAAGGACCTTAAGGTCACTTAAGGTCCGCTAAAGCCGCCTTCCACCGAAGTTGTCACTCGCAGCTTCAAAGCCTCTCCTCCCCGCAGAAACTGGCCTGGGACCGGCCCACAACCCTCCTCCCCTCGCGCTCCCTGGCCTCATCCCCACGGCGGGGGCTCCGTCGGCGCTCACGCGGAGTGTGCTGGGAGCCTTAGCCGCGCGAGCGCTCGTGCCGGCAACAACCCCCCCTTCCCCCCCCCCCCGCCAGTGGTGCAGGGCCGGACGGAGCTGCGGGCCGACTCGGCGGCGCACCCCCTCCTCGCCGCTGCCTGAGCTGGGACGGGCATTTCGCAGAGAGAGGGCCGGGTGCTGGAATAACAGAGTCGGAAGGGAAGGTCATCTAGTCCAACCCCCCCTCCGGGTCGGCCCGCGGGGCGTTTTCGGCCAAGGGGCCAGAGTGGGGCCAGCCTGGCCCCTTGGCCGCTGCAAGCGCCCTGAGGGATCGCGCGTGTCTCGTGGAAAGAGTTGGACTCCGTGGGCTCTCCGCTCCTGTCAGGGCTGAAGGATCGCTCCCCCGCGGCTTCAGGCTCAGGTTTCTAGTCCTCCTTGTCCTCCTCCGAAGGCCCCCCCAGCAGAGGGGCAGGAGCGGCGGCCCTCCAGCGCCCCCGTGAGGCCGCGGCCGCCGGAACTGCAGATTCGCGGAGCGCAGTTTCCGCCCGGAGCCTTCGCGGCGGCGCTCCCGGCCGCGCCCGCTCATTGGCTGCGCCTCGTCACGTGCCCGGAAGCCGCAGGCGGGCGATGGGCAAGAAGCAGGCTGGGGCGCTGGGGCGCTCGCTCCGCCGCGGGGTCCGCGCTGGAGCGGCGGGATGGGTGAGCTTCCCCCTCCCTCCTTCCCTCCCCTCCTTCCCTTCCCGGGCGGGGCGGGGCGGGGCGGGGGGGGCGCTCCGGGGACCCCGGTTAACGGCGGGTCTCCCCTCCCCCCGCAGCGCCACACGAGCGAGCTGGGCGAGCAGGGCCGGGGCCCCCCGCCGCAGTCGGTGACGGAGCAGAGCCCGCTGGAGGCCTTCCTGGCGGCGGCGGAGCTGGCGGACGCTGCCTTCGCGGCAGGTGAGGGGAGGGGAGGGCCGGGGAGGGGTCGGCGGGCGGGGGGGCGCCTCTGCCCGCCTGACGCCGCCGCTTTCCGCCCGCAGAGAAGCTGGACGTGCGCCTGGTCCCCGGCGGGGCTGCGGAGGAGGCCGCCCGCCCGCGGGAGGAGCAGGAGCGGCAGGTGCTGCGCGTCCCCCGAAGGTGCGTCTGGCCAGGGAAGGCCGGGGGGGGGGGGCTGAAGTTGCTGCCGGATCCTGGCCTCTGATGTGGGAGTCCCCGCTCCTCCCCGCCAGGCCTCGTCCTGCTCGCCTCAACCCCCCCTTCCTTCCTTCCCTCCATCCTTCCCCCCTTCGCTCCCCCTGAAGCCTCCGTCCCTCTTTCCAGCCTTGTGATTGCTTGCAAATTGGATCCAACTCCCTGCGGTGGTGATAACATCTTTACTGCTCAGCTCAATGTGAGCTGGCTAAAATTATAGGCGACCCTGTCAAAAAGTGCCTCGTTTTGTTTGTTTTATCCTTATCAAGGTCTTCCTGAGCTTTGCTTCATCCTGAAGAATACTTTGAGTGTAGACCTAGATATTATATTTCTACTACAACAGTTGTGGGAATGAGGAGGGCCTGTGAACCGTTTGTGTGGCGTCTCCGCCAGCCTTGAAATCTTGCCTGCCTTGCACTGTTTCCTCCTCTGGTTACAAATAATGACAGGCGAGACATCTTTTTCCTGCCTCTTCTTGGTTGTTAAAAAGTCATTTTCTCTGGAGAAATATTTTTAAGAACTCGGCAGTTTGCGATATTTTGTGTTCTTGAGGTGATCTAGGTAACGTGTGTTAATATGGATTGTTGCTTTGGTGAAAACTTATTAGCTGTAGCATTAATGATAGGAAGGGAATCCTTTTGGTGAGGTCTTTGCCCTTGGGGAAGACAAGGTTGGACGGGTTCTTATACTGGCCCTGCCTTTTTTCTAGGCCACCAAGGAAGGACTTTATGCAGGAGAAGAGGTTGGGCTAGAAGACCTCCAGGGTCCCTTGTATGATTCTGCATCTCCTGTAGGCAGCTCACAGCTAGCTCTCTTCAAGCTTAATTTCCATCACTTGTTTTGCTTTTCAGCTCTTTCACGTGTTCCATGAAATCTATCCTCCCGTGAACTTTGGATAGATACAAAATGTTTGAGTTCTGTTTCTCTTTCCCTCCGTGTTCCTTGTAGCTATTCATTCTCAAGCATAGAAGCTGCCTGCGAAAAGTTGGTCCCCATCTTCCCTGGGGGGGGCAGGAAGGACTGCTTGAGAGGCTCACCAACCAGAAAGTCACTTCCCAGCCTGTCCAGCTCTCTCCTTTTCTGGTTGGGGCCGACTTCAGCCTTCCTCTAGCACAGGGGTCCATCCCCACACAACTAGCGGGCTGTGGCCTACTCCCAACTGGGCTGCATGAGCAGCGGCCAGTGTGCACCTGCATGTGTGTGCACAGCTCAACCACTCACGTAAGCGGCTCACACAAATGAAGCTGTGCACGTGTGCACGCCTGCCCCTTGCACAAAACCGTCCCCTCTTCCCCCCTCCAGCACCAGGCTGCCAACCCAGAAAGGTTGGGAAACGCTGCTCTACCAAGTACCTTTTGGTTTCCGTTACCAAAACAGCCTCTCTCCCAGGATCATTTTGTGCACTGAAGCAAGTGTTTCTTTGTGGTGCGTTCAGCAGGCTAACAACCCTCTTTTTTCTTTCATTTTGTGTCTGGTTCTTCCAGGCCGCCCTGGGACGAACAAACAAGCCCTGCGGCATTGGAGCAGGCTGAAAGAGACAGCTTCCTGAGGTGGAGGAGGCAGCTTGCGTGGTGAGTCTTTTCCCCTGGAGTTGGCCACGGAGTCAGCAAAGAGCCCCTGACCAGACTAAGTGGGGACGCTCTGTCTGCCGAGGGGAGAGAGAGAGAGAGAGAGAAGGAGAGGGAGTGGGAGTGGAGCTCACGAGACTCATCTTGCACTTGGGGCTGTTCTCGTGTCAACCTCTGCAGCCTGGATTGGCCCTCCGTGGCGATTCCCCCACAAAGATGATGCAGTCCTGAAGGGTGGAGGGATGCCCAGCACACTCCTGGACGCCCGGTCTGTCAGTCTCTTGGCACTGTGGGAACAGTTTGAGCTTGGTGTTGGAAATGTAAAAGAAGAACTCCACCCTTTATTGAAAGTCTCCTGGGAAGTGGTCTGTTTAATGGGAGATAGATGAAATTTTCTGTTCGTTTATTTTGGTTGGGAAGGTTCTCTTATATCTGTCGGAGAGACAGAAATGGAGGCAGTTGAAGTTCTTCGTTATCCAATCCTTTTGGAAGGGACTGTCTTAAAATCAAGGCTGCCTTCTACTGGGCAAAAGGGCCTGGGCGGGTCTTCAGCCCCCAAGCATTACAGAAAAGAAGAATGTAATCAGCAGCAGAAATTACACTCGGATAATGTTCTCAGTGGGCAAATGGCTTTGTTTAAACAAGTGTCCTCATGACTGCTGTAGGAGTCATAAAGGCTGAGGTCATCCTTAATCTCTAGCCAGGTTTAATGTGAGGTCAGAAAAAGTCTCAAAACCCTGTCCAGTCCATTTTTAAGTATGTATTTGGCCACCCCAAGGCAGTTAATCCTTCCTCCTCCTCCTGTTTTCCCCACCACAGCAACAACTCTATGAGGGGGGTTGGGTTGAGAGAGAGACTGGGCCGAGGTCACCCAGCCAGCTTTCATGTCTCTATAGCAGCTGGTGCCACTGGGTGTTTTGCTCTAATGCAGGGGTGTCGAGCTTGCAACGTCACGTGACGTGTCCCGACTTTTTTGCCATTGCCGGCAATGGGGTGGGCACGGTTTTGCTATGGTGCATCCGGCCCGCAGTCCAGCAGTTGACACCCCTGCTCTAATGGATATTGGTTTGCAGCCATGGCTTTTCGTGACCTTTTTTTTCTCCTTTTAAGCTATGTCTTCAGGCAACAACTGTCTGAGCAGTTTACAAAAGTAAAAAACGAGAGACTTCCAGACAGTCAGACAAGTTACGAGTTAAAAGCACGTGAGCAGGTTTGAGAGGCCCTTTCTCTCTCTGTGGAGAGAAAGAGACTTCCCTCTCCACAGAGCAGCTGATGGGGGCATGTTGGGAGCTTCTTTGAGATGGTTTTTCAGCTGATGTCAAGAGGTTTTCAACATAATGAACATCAAAGACTGAAGGAGGAAGTTTGCTCGTTGAACAAGATTATCCAAAATGAAGCAATAAAAAAAAAAGCCCTTGTGCTGCTTCTTGTTTTGTCATGGCCCAGCCTTAAAGTGAAATCAACTGAAAAGCATAGCATTCAATAACATTCAGATAACAGCAAAGCTTTCATAAAATGGTAGAAACAGCCCTGAGGACCAAGTTAGCAAATAAAGAAGATTGCTTCTGCAAAGGAAAAGACCCCCCTCCCAATATCTCTTCGGGGGGGGGGCTCCTAGTTGCACCTCCAGGGGAAACTGGCAGAAGCCAGAATCAGGAAAGAAATGTTTGGGTTAGGGCCAGCCATCTCATTGGGTCTGTGGTGGTGGAGGTCACGTAATTGCTCTTTCAGATCTGTGTTTTATTCTGCAGGATTTATGCCCTCAACTCATGGTAGATCGTTTATTAAATTAAAAAAGTGATTGTTAACTAGAAAGCCATCTCTTGAGTGTGCTTCCTTAAAATCCCCAGGACTCACTCTTCCCCTGCATTCTTACAGGATGGAGGAAGAGGAGAACCTCCTGCTGACCCCATTTGAGCGAAACTTGGACTTCTGGCGTCAGCTCTGGAGGGTCCTGGAGAGAAGGTAACTCTGACCTTTGATTGTGCTGGTCCAGTGAGCTCCCAGGGCCAGGCCGGCGCTCTCTGCTGGGTGGCTCAGGCGGCCTGTCGGAGCAGGTGGGAGGGTGACCGCTCCGAAAAGGGGCCTCCTTGTGGACAGGATGCCCTGGGCAGAGCCTGAGCACGGTGGCCCCGGCGAGGAGCCCCTGCCGTGAAGAAGCAGCCTTGGGAACAAGCAGGGGGGGCTTCCCTTGCCTGCCTGCAGGCTTTGTGTTTGTGTGGCGGCCGGGTGCTGCCTGGGGCTCCAGTGCTGGGATCCCAGCCAGGGCTGCCCTGGGTCCTCCGTCCTCGGCGAGAGTGAGATGTGCTTTCAGCCGGGGAAATAGCGTCCCTTGCCTTCTCTTTTGCAGCGATGTTGTGGTTCAGATTGTGGATGCCAGGAACCCCCTCCTGTTCAGGTGCCGAGACCTGGTAGGTAAAACCAACTGAGGCGCCTGCACAAAGGCAGCAGCCCCACTTTCTGCACTAGAAGCCACTAAAAGTCCCCCGTGTTCCAGGCCAGGCCAGCTCTCCTGCCTCCTGGCCAAAATTAGGGTGGGAATAGAAAAGAAAGCAAGGGCGTGTTTTGGCTTCTTCCAAAGACTGCATCCGACATACACAACAGCTCAGAATGATGATGATGATGATGATGATGATGATGATGATGATGATGATGGAAGGGACCTTGGAGGTCTTCTAGTCCAACCCTCTGTTCAGGCAGGAAACCCTATACCATTTCGGACAAATGGCTGTCCAGTCTCTTCTTAAAAACCTCCAGTGTTGGAGCATTCACAGCTTCTGGAGGCAGGTGGTTCCACTGGTTAATTGTTCTCACTGTCAGGAAGTTTCTCCTTAGTTCTAGGTTGCTTCTCTCCTTGATTAGTTTCCATCCGTTGCTCCTAGTCCTGCCTTCAGGCGCTTTGGAGAATAGCTTGACTCCCTCTTCTTTGGGGCAGCCCCTGAGATACTGGAAGGCTGCTATCATGTCCCCCCTCGTCCTTCTCTTAATTAAACTGGACATCCCCAATTCCAGCAGCCTTTCCTCATATGTTTTAGCCTCCAGTCCTCTGATCCTCTTTGTTGCTCTTCTCTGCACTCTTTGAAGAGTCTCAACATCTTTTTTTACTTCAGGGAACTTCAGCACTTCAGGGAATTGCTGGCTCTTTTGAGACAGGCAGGATATTGTAACACTCCGCCAGGGAGTTTTACAGTGAGGGCAGTGTGGTTTTCCGGCAGGCCCACTGAATTTGGAACCTGCCATGTGACTTCAGACCGGCGCTTCTGAGACGGTTTGAAAGGCTTTGGGGGGGGGGGGGAAGAACCTGGGCAGGTGTGGCTATTTTAACAGAAGCAGGAGGCTTCCTTTGACCCCTGCCGGAGCCCTTGTGACTCTGAGGGTGGGTCCTTCTGTTGGGGAAGGGCTGGGTCAGGCCTGTCGGAGTCCCTGCATCCCTGGGCCTGAAGAAGGCAGGAAGGCAGAGCACAGTGTGGCCCTTCAGGGTCACGAGCTGGCTGTGTTCCCATGGCAACCTTTCTGAGTCAGCCGAGGGCCTCACGGAGACATTTAGGCCTGGCTTAACTTTTTCCCAGCTTTGTGCCTGGCTCTGGGATGGGTGGCGGGGGGAGGGGGTTGGAGGTGATCGAGCGATGGATCTCCTTTGCTGGCGGTCTTCAGATGGTCTGATGGATCCTGTGTGCTGACCACAGGGGGCGGGCGAGATGACCTCTCAGGGGATTCCCGATCCCGTCCAGCTCTTTCAGGGAGCCCTCGGAGACGCTGAGCTCTCTCTGGGAGGGAGAGGACTAGCCGTCCTTCAGCTGAGCAGGCAGGGCCGAGCTCCCCTCCTCTTCCTCCCAGAGCGTGAAGGGCTCCCTTTGCGGGGCTGGGACTCCTGAAGGGGCCCCCTGGCTGCAGTCGGTGCCCCACGCAGGGGAGAAAGATGAGCAAAGGGAGGGGAGATGGCGGGGTTTGGAGAAGAGAGGAACGCTGAACTTCAGTTACTCGGATGGAGGCTGAGAGTCCAAGGGCTGCAGAGCTGCTTTGCTAGGTGGTCTTTTCTCCCCGAGGGGCTGGCTGGGACTAAGCGCTTTTTTGTTAGCTGCGCATCAGAGGTTTTTCACCTGCAGCAGCCTCTTTTTTCCCTTTAGCAGCCATTAGGCAAGCTCACTCCAGTTTTCACCAAGGCAAGGGGCATCTGTGTAGTAGGCAGCACACCATGGAGCCTGGGTGCACATTGAACCCAGGGTCCCCCCCCCCCTGTTATTTCCTCTGGGTTTGACAGAGAAACGAAAAAATATTTTGTCACCAGAACAAGCAGACAAGATGCGCAGGGAGCAAGAAATCCTGTCTTCCTGACAGGCCACGTCCATAAAACGGGCAGCCGTCCCAGTGGCTGCATCTGTTCATGCCCACCCTGGTGCTTCCATCTAGGAAAATGTCCCTCTGACTGAAAATTGTGGGGTGTGACCCACTGCTCCCCTGGGGACTGGAACCGGGGACAGGTGAAGCTGGTCAGCCTTGCAGGGACGGAATGTTCCAGGGATCCAAGAACATCCTGTTTCCACTGCTGGGCCGTATCCAGCCTGTGACAAATCCCTTCCTGATCCCAAAGGTCCAGTTTTGGAAAATTGCAGGCGAGCCCTGCAGATTGGCACGCTCGGGGAGGAAAACTGAACATTGTGGGGTGTTGCACACAACTAACCGAAAGCCACCAGCCTGCCAGCAGGATGGCCACTCCACTGCTCAGATACGCGTAGATGCCTGCCTCTGTTTTTGGGGGGACCGGCGGGAGGGATTGGTTCATGGTTTACCGTAAATAGGTGGCATTTAACAAGAGCCCAGATAAACCACCAAGGGGCTCTAAGGGGGGGGTCTGACTCCTGAAATGGGCAGGAAAGTATTTCTTATCTGTCACAACGGAGCACGTGAATTGGTAGATGTGAAAGCAGAATGGCTGAAGCAGCAGCCTCTGGTGGAAGAAGAGTAGGTGCTACGGCCTCTCCTAGTCCAACCCCTTGCTCAGGCAGGAAGCCCTGCATCACTTGAGGTTTAGGGTTTCCTCTGGCAGTGGAAACGTTCATCTCTGGCATCTCCATAGCTCTCGTGCCTCCCGGGCGCCTTCCTCTGATCTCTTGAGGCTGCCCGCAGGATACAGCAGCCGAGAGAGCCCCAGGGGTCCTAACAGCACCCGGATGGCTCCGGATGGCGATGGATCTGAGAGCGGTGAGGCCGGAAGGCCGGTGGCGCTTCCTGGTGCACATGAGTACATCGTCATGGGGTCCAGTGTTGCCTTCTGCTCCTTCCGGTTCCAGCTCTGCACACCAAAATTGGCTGTGACTTGCACTTCCTCAGTAATGCTAGATTTCGTAATCGACCCTGCGTGCAATGACGGGTAGTCCCAATTTGGGCCCGATGATGTATCGTTTAGTAATGGACCTGCTAGTAGCTAGTGAAGGGTATGAATCAGGGCATGACGGAGCTCAGAGGGGCTGTTTAGAGACCATTGGGACAAAGTCCCGGCTTCCTGCAGCAATAAAAGCCTGTTTAGTCTTTGCCTTAAGAGGTCCGCTGAAAGAAAATCTAGCCTCATGATGGGCTATGTGGTCCCATTATCCAACTCCTCTTATTTTTAGGATTATTTTCCTAATGATGGTGTATTAAGTCATAGCCTTCTTAACCGTCTATTATGTACATTAGCAAACCAAAAAATGAAAGAGGATTAGTCCAGCAAAAAGGGAAAAAAAAAATCCTTGAGGGACCCAGGCGGATTTCTGGCAATTACATTTTGTCAAAGTGCTTTCAGATCCTTCTCTGTGATGCTGGGCAGGCAGGGCCTCCAGTGAGGGGAGGAGGGTCCGCAGCTCAGGTGGTCCTCTGACAGGAAGCAACCTGGTCTGCAGGGGGGCAAAAAAAAGCGTTTCCCAAGGGACCCTCCCTCATTTTCTAGGGACTGAAGAGAGAGGAGGGTCCCTGGGGGAAAGGCTTCCCGGCCTCTCTTCCAGCTGCAGGCCTTCCCCCCCCCCCCGTCTGTCTCCCAAGGCCACTTCCACAGACTCCCAGTTCCGTTGCTCCTCTGCTCTCTCGGGGACATCCTCCAGCTCTTTGGCCCCCCCTTCCGTTCCAAAGGCCTTTCCAGTATAGAGAGGACCGTCCCATCCTTCGCCTGGCTCCTTTGGCGGTGCAGCTCCTCAGGCCCCCCCTGGAGGTTGGGGGAGGCGTTCCCGGACCCCTCTTCTCTCGGCTTCAGCCTTCGACCCGGCTCCCCGTGGCTTTTTTTTTTTTTTTATAGTGAAGGCCGAATCAAAATAGGCCTTGAACAGGTCTGCCTTTTCTTTGTTACCTGTGGGTATTTGGACTTCCCCATGGAGCAGGGTTGGTGTGCAGATCCTTTTCCCTTGGGCAGCTCTACGGAAACCCTTTTTCACCCTTAGAGTCACCCCCGCCCAGACGGGTGGCGCACAGATTGGATAAGCAAATAAATCCTCCGCCATCTTCGTTCTGGGCTTCGCTTTCCTCCCTCGGGTTCTGTAGCTCCGGCCCCTGTCTTTTGGGGCCAGACCTGCGCCTTTTTCTTCCTCTAGGGCTTCTTGTTTCTTGCCAATCACTGCTAGCACAGGGACGGGTGAGGGGGACCACGCTCATCTCCAGCTTCATTTCCATTTATTCCTGAAAGGGGAACTGTGCTTAAGCGGACGTAACCCCCCCCCCAAAATGGACAAAAGAAATTTGGCTGCCCAGGGAACATAGGTCAGTGCTTTGAAAAGTGCCCAGAAGCAAAGGGTCCAACGTGGACTCCGTAAGGGGATGGACGAGGGTTAAAGGGGCATCGGGATACTCTTAAGACTTAGGAGGGTCTTGCAGGCTACAGTCGTGAGCAGCGGGGGGCTCAGTTGGACTATCTAGCACTGGAATTAAGCCCAAGATACACGTTCAGCTGCATGCAGATTTGGCTTCCTTCAAGAAATCCAGTGCTAGAGAGTGCCATTCCTCCAATCTTTCCACTATTCCAGTTCTTTCACTACACTTTTCCTGTTGGTTACTATGGGATAGCTGACCTCCTCCTGTCACTTGAAGGAGAAAATTCTCAGCAAGCGGATCAGGAATTCCCCTCGGAGGGAGGACCGTGCTTGGTGGCATCCATCATCCATCTGATGTCACAGGGTGACAAGAGTTTATAAATATAAGCTGGCATCACTTCGTGTGACTGAACAGAGGCGGCTTCTCCCTCGGAAACAAGAAGGATGTTTTTGTGGCTCTGACTTCCCGCCTGAAGGCCACTCATCCTTTCATGACCGTGACTGCAGAACCATCTGATTCTGGAGATAGTCTAGTCTGGGCGTCATCTCCAATCTTGGCAGTTTTACAACTTGTGGTCTTCAACTCCCAGAATTCCTCAGCCAGCATTCTGGGAGTTGAAGTCCGCAGGTCGTGAAGTTGCCAACGTTGGAGAGCCCTGAATTCTGGCCCAACTCTGTGCCCAGTGCAGGACTCCCCCCCTCTTCCCCCCCCCCAGGTAGCATCCCCAACAGACGGCCTTTCAAAGCTCCTGAAGTTTCTCTTCCGTCGCTGAACAGCTGTTACTCTTAGAAAACATTTCCTGAGCTCCAGCCAAAATCAACTTCCTTGTGGCTGAAACCCTCTGACGCTTGTTCTGTCTTCTGGAATACCTCTGAGCACTTCTGCCCCGTCTTCCCCACAATGGCCCTTCCAATATTTAAGGGCAGCTTTCTCGTCTCTGCAGCCTTCTCTTCTCCAGACCAAACAAGCCCCCCCCCCCCGCCTCTCCTATTGCCCCTCATAAATCTTCCCTTCCGGCCCGTTTTGGCTGCTCTCCTCGGGACCTAGAAAAGTGACAGTAGAAGAGATGGTAGGCCATTGAGTCTGCCTTTCTAAGTTTTGTTGTTGCTGTTATTTATTTATCATTTTAAAATTATTTTTAATTTTTTGTCGGATGATGGACGTGTGTTTCTCCCAGGCATGTTTAAACTCAGTTTCTGGCGATCGACCCACTACCTCCGCTGGAACTTGGTTCCCAGCTTCCACGACTCTTTCTGTGAAGTCATCCTTTCTAATGTGACTTTTGAACTTCCTTCCTGTCAGTTTGGCCCCCTTGATTTTGTCCTTGAGTTTTGCTTGATTTTTGACGTCTTTCCTAGCAGGTGCTCAGGATTGGCTTCTGGGTGCAATCTGAGCAATGCAGGTTAGAGAGGAACACTAACTTGGCCACATTCTCTAGTGGCTGTGTCTGCATCATACCCTTGGTTCACAGTAGGATGGTGACTCCCCCCCCAAAGCACCAAGATCCTTTCCACAGATCCTTTGTGGCCCAGAATGTTCCCATCCAGGGGATTTCCCCCTCCCCACACCCAGATGACGCGGCACTCGGCGTTTGTCCCCGTTGAGGCTCAGCTTGTGGGTCTCTGCTCTTGAGTGTGGCTTGTGAGACCCTCCCAAGTCTCAGGAGTGTCCCGATGGCGTCCTTCCAGGTTTGATTATCTTCCAGCCTTTCAATGGAGTCCAGGTGGGAGCCTCGTGCTCTGCTCTGGGCGCTTCTTTTCAGCTGGACCCTAATCACTGACGTGTGTTCCCTGGGCAGCCATGTTGGGTTGCCATTCCTTTCTCTTGTCCTTTTTTTGTCTTTTCTTCTTGTTATGTCCACTTAAACACAGTTCCCCTTTAAGGAATAAATGGAAACAAAGCTGGAGATGAGCACTGTTGCCTTCACCTGTTACCCTCCTAGCCATGGGTCCGTCCCATCCTTTCCCTCCACGGATAGAGCCAGGAAACCCTCAGTGGGGCTCTTAGTTGGCCTTCCAAGCTGGTGTGCTTTTTGTGTGGTATTTGCCCTTGCACAGCCCTGTTTCTGAATGGCTCCCGGCTCTCCTGGGCTTCCTGTGACCTAGTGGTGTCTGGTCGTGAGAACTCGGCTGGTGATTCCCTGAGCCTCTGGTTTCGATGGTCTCTCCAAAACTCTGGACGTTTCTGAGGAGGTTTTGGGAAGTTGCTGTCCTGGCCGGGCGGGGCTTTTACTTTGCCTCTCCTCCATTAAGAATAAATCGGGGCCAGGAGGGGCCCTCCAGATCCACAGTATTTGCTTTCTTTTGTTTCCTGCCTGCCCGAATGCTCTCGGCCGGATTCCCACATTCACGTTCTGGGTCCTCCATGGCCCGGGCACTTGCTCCTGCCCCAGAGGGGTTCTTCCTGTTAAGTGCAACTCCAGTGAAGGAGAGTTTGTTGCTCAGGGTTGAAACAAGGGGTCCTTGGTGCCCCCTGAGCTTGCTTGCTTTCTCGCAAACGTTTCATGTCCCTAACCAGGTAGCCTAGATGATGTCACCTAGTTAACGTCATGAAACGTTTGCAAGAAAAGGAGCCCAGAGGGCACCAAGGACCCCCCTCCCCCGTGAAGGGCAACTGCCAGTTCTCTTCCCCAGCCCCTTGTCAAGGGAGGGGATCCCCTCCCTTCATTCTCCTGCCGCTTGGGATCTTGCAGGAATGCTACGCTAAAGAAATCAGCCCGGAGAAGGAGAACCTCATCCTGCTCAACAAAGCCGACCTGCTGGGGGAGGAGCAGCGCTCGGCCTGGGCCCGCTTCTTTCAGAAGGAAGGGGTCCGCGTGGTCTTCTGGTCGGCCTTGGCAGAGGGGAACCGGCTGGGGGCCAGCCCTGAGGTAAGGGGGGGGGCTGGGAGGAGGCCGGGCGAAGAAGCCCCGCTCGGCTTCCCAAAGATCAGAGGGTTACCTGGCGCCCAAACTTTCAGCTGCTTCAGGTGCCGGCCTTAAACCTCCTGCCCTGCGAGCCCCTCGCGTGACCCAAGTGGATCGCTGGGGTCCCCCTGCCCCTCCCCCCGGCTTCTCTTGGGGTCCTTGCTTGTTGGGGAGAGCAGCCTGTGTGGCAGCCCTGGCATCTGGCAGCTGTGCCCCCTGGGTGATTAAGGCCTTTCAAGCAACAACCCCCCCCTTGCAAGGGAATGCATTGGGTGGGAACTCAGCCTGTTTGGGGGGGGGAGGCTGGTCCTAGGAGGGCCTCTGGCAACCTTCTGCAGCTTTTGATCCCAGGGCTCCTCTTTCCTTCTGCTCAGGAGCTGGGAACCAGGGAAGTGGCAGACCCGGCTGGCCAGGGTGCTGGCCCAAGAGAGGAGCAGCTGACCCCCAGCGGAAGAGCGGGGAGCCCCCCCGGCACCCAGCGGGAGAGCGACAGGGAGGAGGACGGAGACGTGTATGAGGACTGTGAGGAGGAGGAGGAGGAGGAGGAGGAAGCCTGGCTGACTTGCTCTGAAGATGGGGAGCCAGAGAGCCCCATTGTGCCCTTGGGGAGAAGCAGGGCGGAGCTCTCACAACCGGCACCCCCCCAGGGCCCCCCCGTCAGAAACAGCAGCCGCCTGGTCCAAAGAGAGGAGCTCCTGGAGATATTTGAAACTCTTCACGCTGGGAGGAAGAAGGTCAGAGACGGGCAGCTCACCGTCGGCTTGGTGAGTGGATGGTGGCGCTGGGGACACGCTGGGGGGGGTGCCTGTCCGAGCCTCCCTCCCTCCCTCCCTCTGGGTGGGGGCAGGTGGGAGCAGGCTGGGGGGGGTGAGGTGGGCAAGGCCTCCAAGGGATCCCCCCCCAGGGCTGCTGCCAGGAGAGACCGGGGGGGGGGCCTTCCTGGTCCCAGGTGGACTCGGCCAAAGGCTTTCCTGGGGGGAAGTTTGGACTCTCTCACAGCGCTGGAAAAGGCTTCTGGTGGGGGGGGAGTGGGGGGGAGACCGAGCACTTTTCCTCTTGGCTGAGTTACGGTGACCGGGCTGAGGACGGGAGGCCCAGAGGGGGCTGGGCTGCTGGGCCTTGGGGGCGCCTCTACTCATTTCCCTTCCACAAACGGTTCTTACACTTCCTGCACTCAGGCCCCCATTTTGGCGTATTTCTTCTTGCACCCCTAAGCTTTCCTCACAGCCTGTGGGGGAAAAATATATATATACTTCCTCTGCACCCTTCAATTCCTGGAATCTTAGAGCCCAGGGAGGGGCTTCAGCCCAGGTTCCTGCTGGGGGCAGAGACCCCGGTCCAGACCTCCACAAAAGGTGGCTGTGCAGCCCCCCCCACCCCATGGAAAGGGGTCCTTCGCCCCTCTGGGTCACCGAGGGCTTCTCAGGCGCCGCCTCTTCTTAGGGAGGTTTTCCTTCCTGGGGGGGGGCTGCTTTCCTGCCGCTTCCCTCCCCCACTCGGCACCCTCGCCCTGGCCCTTCCCGACACCCTCAGCCTTTCCCAGGAATGGCCCTGACCGGGCTGGAATAAAAGCAGGCAGCTCACACAAAGACAACCCGGCTGAGCTCCTTGGAGTGACCAGTGTCTGCTCCCTCCCCTCCCTCCCTTCCTCCCTCCCCACCTCCCCCCCTGCCTGCCTTCCTTCCTTCCTTCCTTCCTTCCTTCCTTCCTTCCTTCCTTCCTTCCTTCCTTCCTTCCCAGGTGGGCTACCCCAATGTAGGGAAGAGCTCGACCATCAACACCATCCTCGGGAAGAAGAAGGTGTCCGTCTCTGCCACGCCAGGACGCACAAAGCACTTCCAGGTACTGCGAGGAGCCCTCTGGGCTGATGGCCGGAGACCCCTTCCTGCCTCCTCCTGCTTGGTCACCCCGTGGCAGTGAGGCCCCCCCTCCCCCCAATCTCCATCCGGGAAAGGCCTGGCATCTGCCCTGGCGCAGGTGTGCCCTGGTCTGCTGCTTCCCTGGGTTTCCCTTTTTGCTCCCCGTTGGCTGCCTCGTTCTCCCCTTTGGAGAGCCCAGGAGGGGGCCAGGGGGCCCTTGCTGGTTCCCCAGGGAGTGTAAAAGGGGGGGCAGGAGTCCCGGGATGGGAAGGCCTGTGGAGCCCTCCTGGCTCTGCTGTGGGGGAAGCCGGCCTGCCCCCTCCTCCCCCACAGGAGGGAGAGGCTTGCTCTAAGCTGGGGAGGGGCCTTGGCAGACGCTGTTTGTGGAGCCCTCCCTCTGCCTCTGCGACTGCCCTGGGCTGGTGATGCCCTCCTTTGTCTCCACCAAAGCCGAAATGGTTTGCAGCGGCATCTTGCCCATCGATCAGCTGCGGGACCACGTCCCCCCCGTCAGCCTCATATCCTTTCTCGGGGAGGTGTACTGGGGGGGGGGCAGGCAAGGGAGAAGCCGGTTGGGCGGGGAAGGGAGGAAAGAACTTGTGAATGACGCTGCCAGTATTCCTCGTAGCCTTCGTGTGTGGGGGGGGGCTGGTCTCTCCCTCGGAGAGCTGGTGCTGGGCGTAAAAGTCAGTCTCCTGAATAAGGGAGGCAGAGGGCTCTGGACCGGTCTCTGGACCTCTGGCCGGAGAGTCCCCCATGTCTGGAAACAGCTGGGAGGCAGAGGGGAAGGTGCTGGCCTCACCCAGATGGAGCTCAGCTTTCCTAGAGTGGGGAGGGGAGAGGAGGTGGGGGGGTCTCACAAGAGGGAAAGAGGCCCTTGCCCCAAAGGTGGTTCCTTCACTCCCCCACGTCTGCCAACGGATTCCTCGGCCAGTCTTGGAGGCCACCTATGGGATCAGCATCCTCCGGCCACGCGAGGATGAGGACCCTGACCGGACGCCAACCTCAGAGGAGCTTCTCTCGGCCCTGGGCTGTGAGTAAACACCCCCGTGGGTGGGCCTGAGAGCCTGTGGGTGGATGGGTGGGTGGGTGGGGGAGGGATCTGAATATGTTGAGTCCACAAGCTCCAGGGAGACCAGGCCAGGGACTGCAGCTTAGACCGCTGGTCTGGAGGGCGACCTCGGGGGTTGGGGCCAAGGGTGGGTGGGGTGGGACAGGTGGGACATCAGAGAAAACAGCAGGACACACACCCCCTCGGGCTGGGAACAGCTTTCTGGCTGAGGACACAGAGGGGAGGAAGGGGATTGTCACTCCCCAAGGGCAGATTCTGGGAAGCTCTTAACGGGGAATGATGCATCCTCCTCCTCCTCCTCCTCCTCCTCCTCCTCCTCCTCCTCCTCCTCCTCCTCAGTAAATCTGATCCTCCACCCAAGGTCTCCTTGGAAGGGGGAGTGGGGAGCGTCTAATTGCCATGCCAGTACAAAGCCTTGATAGGGCCCAGATCCTGGGATAGACTAAGCTCTGTGCTGCCCCCCCCCTGTCTCCCCAGCAAAGGCTCTGGGGCCTGGGCTTACTCCCCCCCCCCAAGATGCTTGTCCTGCAGGTATGGTGACCCCCGGCCTCTCGCTTTCTCCCTCCCCTCCACACAGGCATGAGGGGCTTCATGACGGATCACGGGCAGCCAGACCAGCCGCGCTCAGCCCGTCTCGTGCTGAAGGACTACGTCACGGTGCGTTTTGGGGTGCCTGAGCCCTGGTGCTGGCCTTGGAGCAGAGCCGGCCCCTAACTTTTCAAAAGTGCCGGGTGCAGAGGGTGCCTCCTTTTGACACGGGGGCTGGCAGTTCTGCTTGAGCGGGAGGTCTCTGCACCACCTCTTTGGCCTGGCAGGAGGCAAAGCCAACCCCCCCAGAGAGCCCCCCCCCACTATTCAGTAAGGAATACTCGTAAGGAAGGAGAAGCCTCTTTTGCGGTACTCCAGGATAAGAGCCGCGGTGGTGCAGTGGTTAGAATGCAGTATTGCAGGCTCATTCTGCTGACTGCCTACTATCAGCCTTTGGGCAGTTCGATCCTGACCGGCTCAAGGTTGACTCAGCCTTCCATCCTTCCGAGGTCGGTAAAATGAGGGCCCAGATTGTTGGGGGGCAAGAGGCTGACTCCGTAAGCCGCTTAGACTGAGAGGGCTGTTCAGCGCCATGAAGTGCCACACGTCTGCTATGGCTGGTGCTATTTCTGATCCAGATAGGAAGGTATTTCCGAGAACAGACACAGAAGCTGGATGTTTGCAGCAACTGCCCAGAAAAACCGTTGACGTAGCCCACATGTCGGGCACAGGCGTTGCCCTCGGCTCTGGCTTGGCTGCTTTTACTCAGGGCTGTTATGGAAACCACACTCCTGGGTTCCCACGTTACCCCAAACCGAACTGCACCGCTCTAACCCAATGTGTGAACCCAGGCGGAAAGCGAGGAATACCCAGGAACGGGGAGGCCAAGGATTAGGGGAACCCGAGGACACGGCTCCTTGCTCCCCCGGGGGGCAGGCGGCTCCTTCTGAACGCTTCTCCTCCTGGCCTTCCCTGCAGGGCAAGCTGCTCTACTGCCACCCGCCTCCGGGCGTGGATGCCAAGCTCTTCCAGTCGGGGCTCGAGAGGCTCCGGCCCAGCCAAGGGGCAGCAGCAGCAGCAACAATGCAGCACAACGGGCAGCAGCCGTCTGGCAGGGGCCCCAGGGCGAAGCAGACGGAGAACCCGGTGGACTTGGCCTTCTTCCACCAGGTGAGGCAAGGGGGGGGCGCTGGTCCTGGTCTTGCCACTCCGTGCTGCGGTGGGTGGGGCTGCGTCCCTGAACAGAGCAGCTTTCAGTGAGGCCTGGATGCTGCTGCAAACGGCCGGGGCTGATGTGCCCGCTGCCCCCCTCGTCTTCCTGCCCTAACGGGGTTCAGACAGAATCGGTCTCCAGAATTTAAAAAGGGGGCGGGGGGTGCTGGAATTACCCAGATGAACCTGCTGCCCTGGCATTTGCCTCTCCTGCAGGCCTCCGTCCCCCACCCAGTCCCACCTCTCCTTTTGAGGACCCCACACACACACACACACACACACAACCTTGCCTGGCTTCCCCAAGACATTGACCCAGAAGGTCACTTCAGAGGAGCTAACTGTGCAGATTGAAGGAAGCCTAAATTAAGCAGGGTTAACGCTAACCAAGTTAACACGTGCAAACACGACCTGGCTCTGACAGACTTAAGCATTTAAAATAAACCCAGCCACGGCAACACAATAAAATTCACAAGGTCTCAACACCAACAGGCGCACACAGACTAGTTCTAAAGTGGTTGTGTGTTTTTATTGGGGCTGAGCAGAGGCTGGGTGGGGGGGAACGAAGGTTGGTTGCCCAGAGGGCTTTTCCCTGGAGCTGCCCTTATAAGCCTCGCCCGGGGTCCCCTCCTGCCCTGCTGAAGCTGCCTCTCGGGAAGGGTTAGGGTGGGGCCTCCGGTGTCCACCCGGCCGGCAGCCCCTTCTGGTGCGGCACTGGGCTGGGCCTTTGCCTGTCCCTGCACGGGGCCTCAAGGCTTCGCCTGCCTTCCAGGAGAACGTCCGGGCCCTGACCAGAGGCAACCGGGCCAGAGTGGGCTGCCCAGCAGAGACGGCCGTCCACCTCCCTTCCGGACCTGGCTCGGCCGATGGAGCCGGGAAGCCGTGGAAGAGACACGGGAACCGGAACAAGAAGGAGAAGCTGCGCCGCCTCAACAGGCACCTGGAGGCCTGATGGCTGGAAGGCCGGGAGGGAGGGAGGGAGGGAGGCAGGCAGAGGCCCCCGAGGGGAGGGTCTGCCCCAGAGCCCTCCGAAATAAAAGACCTTTCTCTTCTCGATGGCGTCTCCCGGGCACCTGGGCTTCATCCTCTCCTGATGAATGGAGACGGGGTCGATCGGCCGGCTGGGCTTCATCCTCTCCTGAATCATCACGGATGGAGACGGGGCCGATCGGCCGGCTGACGGGATGGGGTGGCTCTGCCAGGGTGGGGTGGGGGGGATTTTTTATGGGTTTTTTTTAAATTATGCACGATCTATAAATGTTGTAAGCTGCCAGGAGTCACCTCTGAAATATAATATACATTTGTTAAATAAATAAATAAATAAAAAATTGAGAAGTTCCTGCCAGCAGAAACTACCCCCCAAATGGCGTCTTTTCCTTCCTCAGGCCTGGAGCTGCTGGTCTCCAGGAGGCCTTTGTCAAGCCCTGACTCAGTTCACTTCCCACTCTGGCCTGGTGGGGCTATCCTGGTAACCGAGTTGGTAGTGGAAGCCATGATGACCTTAGCGGCACGTTAAGCCTGTCATTGCTTCACATGCTGCAGGGGTCTTGCTCTCAGCCCAAGGCCGAAGGCTCCACGTTCCCTCCAGAGCCACTTGCAGGGCGGGGGGGGGGAAGGGGGGGATCTCCATTTCCTGCTGGAGAGCACCCCAAAGGCAGCTGGTTGGTCTCCATAGAAGACAAAATGCTGGACTCCCTCTGATGGGCCTGGGCCTGATCCAACAAGGCTGCTTTTAGGTTCCCCAGGGGGGCCTGGCTCTCTGGGCACGACGGCTGCCCCTCTCCCCTGCCCAGTTTGGGTGTGGGGGGGGCAGGACCGCCTGGTCCTTGCAGGGATTCTCAGCAGGTGGAATGCTCTCCTGGGGCTTTCCCCCTCTCCCCCACACGGGGGCGCTCTTCCCCCTGGTTTAGCAGCAGGGCATTCCAGCCAGAAACCAGCCTGTTTCCCCTTCTGGGGATGGGGGAGGACAGCAGCCCATGCGGAGCAGCCTGGGAAAGTCATTAAAAAAACCATCCCCGTGTAAGGTTTTATTTTCTTTTACATGCGTGGATATATTAATATTTTATCTTTATTCTAGCAATATATAGTATAAGGGTGATGCAATTGAACAAAAAAAAAATCTGAAAAATTGTCTGCAATCAACATTTTTTTGTATTTAACAAGAAATTAACAGATGCATGTTCCCTTCTGTGGAAACACACACATGTTGTTTCCCCTTTTGGCAGAAGCAACCTCAGAGGGGCGTTTCTTGTAACTGCCTCCCGGTCTCTGACATCCAACAGAGGGGGGGGATTTTCCCCCTCGCCTCCCACGCAGCGTGTTTTTTAGCTGAGCAGTGCTTGAGGCGTTGCGCACATGGCCCAACGCAGCCCCCGGCACCTTGATGGGATTTAGAGGTGGCCTTGACTTGGCCGTCCCCAGGAGCGGGTCTCCTGCTGCCCTCAAGGATCCCCTGGCGCCAGGAAGGCTTCGTGGTGCCTTCTGGAATGGTGAGCTGCCCAAGTCCCAACGCCTCGAAGAATTTCCAGACCGTAACTTTTAACTCTCGCTGTGCTTTAGAATTGGTGTCTGGTTCTTCAGGCGAAAGGGTGACTTTGGTTTGGGCCCAACCTGCCCTCTGGACCTGGGGCCAGATAACGTCTCGTCTGCCAGGGCAGAGAGCCTTGATGCCCAGGTGTCTGTGAGCAAATGTTAAGTCTTGCCCTGATGTCTCCTGGCACATACACCCTCTTGCAGAACTGTGCAGCTTCTTTCTAACGGTAGAGTGAAGTAGTGGTGAGAACTACTCACAGGCCTCGTGATGAAATTTTGGAGACTTCTGTTATCCCGTCTTCTGCTCTTGGGCTAAATTGGCTGGGATGGTCTGGGCAAAGATGCAGTGGCTTGACATCTCCACTTGTCAATTTCTTCTAGACGGGACAGATGTCCTCTTTTAAAATCCCAGTCTCGGAGGCATCTGTAACCTTCCTTCTGGAGGCCTCAGAGGGCTCTTTTGAAGAGCGTCTTGCTGGCTGTGATGGGCAGAGCCGCTCTGCTGGTGGCACAAAGACATCTGCTCGCCCTGCCAGCTGCAATGGACCTGAGCAGGCGAATTGCCCAGCCACGTGTGAGCTGGAAGACCACGAGAAGCCAAGAGCCCCGGGAGGGGACCGACTCCCACTCACCTCTGAATCTGCTTCTCTGGTGAAGCTTTCCAGGGGCTGCCTACACGCCCAGTGGTGCCCTCTGGGTTTATTGGGCTGTGGTGGCAGCTCAGCACAGCCGGAAGCTATGGGTGAGCCTCGCTCCTCTTGCAGCACAAGAGAACTGGGCCATTACACTGGGCCTGAGCTAGCCCACTCGGGGCCGGGGCCCATCCTGCGTGGTGCTGACAAGGGCTGCTCCCACCCCAGGGGGCTGCGTGTGCTCCTTCCCATCCTGGGTGGCCCTGGGGCTCACTCGAAACTGGCAGCAATTTGTCAATTTGATTGCTGTTGATTTCAGCCCAGGAGAAACCAAAGTGACCAACAGCAAAATTAAACCTGGAGTCGAAGCTGCTTCCTAACGTTTGGGCGGTTCCCCTGCGTGTCACTGAACGGAGACATCCACCGTCTGTCTGCAGATGGCCTTGCCTGCCCGACTGGCAGCTTTCTCCCTTTGCTGCTTAAAACAGTTCCCACTTGCAGCCGCCTTGCCAAGCCTCACCTTCCCTCTTCTTATCTTTAACTTGCCAAACCCATTAAGCTAGTTAATTGGAATTTATTAGAGGGCTGTATAATTGATTGAATAATGATGGATAGGTATTCTAAGACCCTTTTTGTTTTGTGTCCTACAGTTTTTTTTCCATTCTGGACTTTAATCACCCCACCCCGTCCCACCCAACATTTTAACCAGTTTCACAAAACACACTTAACTGGGTTAAAATCTAGGGGCTTGTTGGCCTTCCAAGATAAGCCAGACAGGAAACACAACTAGATGAATCAATTCTACTTCAATGTAAGCTGACTACATAGAATCTTGCAAGTATGAAAGTACAATCCACCCCCCCCCTTTAGAGCCTGATAACATAGGGAGGGTCCTTCCTAAGTCTCTTCCTCTGACCTTAAGACAACTGGGGGCTCCTGTCCTCCTTCCCTTTCCTGACAGTTTCTCTTCCCCCCCTTTCCCCAGGGCACCCACACATTCCATTCCAGTGCTGCAACCAGAAACGATAAACTTGGTTCTGTAAGCTTTGGTTCCATTCCTGGGTAGCTTAGCAGGTGGTGCAGTTCTAAAATCGACCCAGCTTTGAAGTTGCTAGAAAACCGATGCAGACACTTAGCTGCATCCACACCCGATATATATAACTTGACTATTGAACTGACCACCTTCTGGGTTCACAGCAATTCCTGAACCAGCAAAACGACCCAGGATGGCAGAAGAACAAAACCACAAAGGCTTGAACGAACCAACTTAGCTGCCCTGCTCTCTTTTTGAACGAACCAACTTAGCTGCCCTGCTCTCTTTCTGACCTGGAGAAGCTGCACCCTCTGAGCAGGCTGCCCCGAAATGGAACCGTTGGCCCCAAAAGGCTGCCTGCCCTGCTCTGTTCACTACAGCTGAGGAGGGGGCTAAAGCAGACTTCTGCACTGGGGCCTTTGGATGTTTTTTTCATTTTTTAAAAATGCACCCTTCTTGTTTATGTTTTTCTGTGAGCTGCTCTGAGCCGGACGGCAGATCAGCAAGAGCTTTTTAATATTATTTTGAAAGCAGCAGACTGAGTGGAAGGAATGTACCCGTGACATCACCGGCTTTTGTGGGGTGGGGGATTGGAGGGCCCCCTGCTGCGCTCTCTGGCTTCGTTGGCCTTCACTGTTCCTGCAATTCAGGCAATTGTGTGTAAATGCTCTTGACTCTCTTCCAGTAAAAGATGGGTGTTTTCTGGCAGTTCCTCCGGATTCCTTTTGCAGCCGCACATTCCACATATTTCCTCCCAGCCCCCCAGAACCTGTGGCAAGGGGGGCCCACAGGGCTCAGCCGAAACCGACGCCTTGCTGGGCCTGCTCCATTCCTGCCCTTGTGTCTTGTGTCACAACTTCTGCCTCTCCAACACAACAGGGGGGAGAGAGCCGGCCCTTCCCTCTACCCACCGCACCCTCAGGGCTGGTAGCCCAGCACCACGGGGGTCTGCCCTGGCTGCACTTCCCTCCTGATAAGCCCAGCGCCCCCCAGACAATACCCCTCCCGCTCTCTGCCCTCTGGGGTGGGAGGGGGGCTGCTCCAGGGCCCGGGGCTACGTCCAGGAGGAAAGCCGGCGGAGGTGCGGGGGGGGCCAGGCTGCGCCCCATCCTCCGCTTTCCCTGCAGCTTCAGACACCGGCAGGTGGGCGGGGGGCGACCGCTGGCCCGGTCCATCAGAGGGCTGCCCTGACCGGCCCCCGCGAGCCCTGCCGGCCGAGGGGCTGAAGGGGCCCCGAAGGGCTGGCCGGAGGGCAAATCCCCCCCCCCACACGCGGGGGTGGTGCGTGTCTTGCAATGGGGCTGCGGGGGGGTNCCCGTCGCCGGCGCGGAGGGGGCCGCGGAGCCGGTTGGACGCGCGTGCAGCCTGGCCGGGCGGGCGGGCGGGGCGGCCTCGGCAGGTGAGTCGGGGGGCGCCCCTCCCCCCGGGGGAGCCGGGGGGGCGGGGCGGGAGGGAGGGGTCTCGGCGCCCGCTTCGGCCGGCCTCGCTCGGGACCCTCCGCGGGGCCTCCGTGCCCGGCCCTCCCCGGCGCCGCTCCAGGGGGCGAGGCCGGGGCGGCGGCGGGTCTCCGGAGTCCCTTCCGGGGGAAGAGGGTCCCTCGGGCGCCTCTGCCCGGCCGGACCCGCCGCCCCGCCGGGCAGGGGAGGGCCGGAGGGAGGGGGGCGTGGGGAGGGGGGCGCCGTCCCTTTCACCCACTTGGTGGAAATCTCCCTCTTTCTGCGCTGCTGCCCCCCCGGGTCTCCCTCCCCCGCCTTC